CCTCCCTTCTCTGGACTTCATTTTTCTCATCTGCAAAACGAGGGGATTGGACTAGATCCTTTTCAGGGCCAGCTTTCTTTGATCCTCTAAATAGAGATTGCAGTTTTTAACCAACCCTACTTGGGAAGTTGGTGGAAGACCTTAAGAGTCCTCTAGCTGCTTGACCTAGGAAAAGCAAATTTCACAAGAGGCAAGGCTTGGGTAGGGCCTGGGAGGGAAGGCCTAGCAACCCTGGCACTCACCTGGACTGCCTTTATGGAAAGTACATTGTTACAAAGGTGACACCCAATATCTTCAGGCACACCTGCCCTACCTACTACCTACTTATTCAGACAAACCCAAGGATTAAGGATTAACCTCAGCATTCAGGAGCAACAAAATACCAGCTATATTCTTTCAGAATCTCAAAAAATACCTAGATACCACCTTTCCTACAAAAAAAAGTTATAAAATTAAAATATATCTACTTGTCATAATGGACAAATTTACATATGCCGATGACATGGAATCATATCCATCTACTCCAAAAAAGTGAAACCTTTGGCAACTACATCAATTCTTAACATGGGGTAAATATATAGATTTCAGAAGGTTCGTACATTTGATATTCTTAATATTTTGATAGCTATTTCAGTATAATTACTTTCCTTTGTAATTTTATGCATTTAAAAACATTCTGAGAAGGGGTCCTTAGGTTTCACCAGACTGCCAAAGGGAGTTCATCACACACACACACACACACACACACACACACACAGCCAAGCCCCAAACCAATAAAGTGGTTTGGTTAATTCAGTCTTTTGACACCAACATCACAACTGGATCTAATTGTATAAAATCCTTAAGTTTTGAGATGATACTTTAGCTTACTAAAAACCAAAGTTTCCTTGAACAAGTTTCATTTTATAGAAAATACAGTGGACATTTTATAAGTCAACTGTAAATTAATGCTAATCAAGTATACTCGAAGTATCCTTAGCTAATATTTTATTAAAGAGCTCTTACAGACCTAAGGCAACACACTGGATATTGGGAATTAAAAGCTTAAAACACCATCTTTTCCTTCAAAGAACTCACAATATACATAAGGATATATGAGAAAAAGAAGAAGGAGCCACCAAGTAAGTTGTACAAACAAGTAGCTAGGACAATCAGCTAGCATTTAGTACCTACTATATGCATGAAAAAATGCATACACTTTCTCACATAGTCCAGTCAATTCAGCTAGTATTTATTAAATGCCTTCTATGTGCCATGCACTGTACTAAGCAGTGGGGATGCAAAGAAAGATAAAGGAGAATCCTTGCTCTCAAATCGAATGGGGAGACAATATGCCAACAGCTAAGGGAACATAAGACATAGGATAATTTGGAGACAATCAAGGTTTGAAAGCACAAGCATGAAGTGGAATTGGGAAAGGCTTCCTGCAGAAGATGGGACTTCAGATGAGACTTAAAGAACACCAGGAAGAGATGAAGGAGAGAGTTCTAGACATGAGGGACAGAGTGAAAACACTGAAAGCAGAGAAATGGAGTGTCTTGTTCAAGGAACAGCAGGGAAGCTGGTGTTATTGGATCACAGAGTGTGTGGAGACAAGTGTAAGGCATAAAGGACGTCCATATGGGGCAGTCACCTCTTCTAGGAGGAGATGAGATTTGACTTAGACATTGGAGAGAAAGCATAAGACTTAGACAAATGAGGAATAGGAGAAAGAGAAATCCGTCTGAGATTGTACAAAACTGAGATTGTACATGGTATTTCAAAGAGCAATAGTGAGACAGTTTTGACAATAGTAGAGAATCCATTTTAAAGCTGAAGATATAGAAAAGGGGCATACTGTGGAAGCCCTTGTATGACAGGCTAAGCAATCTTAATTCATCTTCAAAGTATGACAGTAGTGGGGGTTGGGGAGATCACAAAAGGGCTAAGTAATATATTAAAAATATTAATTGACAACTGGTTGTAGAATAAATGAGGGTGGAGGAAAAGATGGAGAGAATTGGAGGCAGAGATCTGGAAGCAGACTGTAACCAAGGTAGGCCAGGCTTGAATGATAAAGCCCTGGACTAAGGACTTGACAGTGAATATGCAATTAAAGGGGAACTGATTAAACAGGCTTTAAGGAGAAGAAAAAGAAAATCAAGGAAAACTTAGTGACTGATTAGATAATGGGGGAGAAATAAGGAAAAGTAAAGAATGACTCCCAAGGTTTCAAGTTCATGTAACTGGGAGAATGATAATGCCTTTAGCATAAATGAAATTGCCAAGAAGAGAACTAGAGGGAAAATGATGAATTTAACTTTAAACAGATTGAGTGAGGTTAAAAGTGACAAGGGGAGGATGCAAATCATGCTGTCCAGCAGAGAAAGAGGATAAAGTTCAAAACAAAACAAACATAAAAGACTAGTGCTGATGATGAAGATTTGGGAGTCAGAAAAGGTTCATAAGGTAATAGAATTTGAGACTGAGAAGGCCTGAGAGATCATTTCTAAATCTCTCCTTTTAGAGTCATGATTAACGAACATCATTTGACGTATTCCCTGAAGTCATGATTCATGGGACATAATTTGACATATTTCCTGGCCTGTAGTTGGAAACTTGGGAGTATAATTATTGTAAAGGAAAGCAACAAGGGCCCACCTAGGCATACCTTTAGGGAAATTTGTCATTGTCTTTATCAGTGCTTGTTTAAATGCCATCTTCTTTCATTCCTAGTTAGGATCTCCAAGGGAAATGGGTGAGTGGAATACAAGGCAGTCTCTCTTTTCAGCTGGAGAAATGTACAGAGAATTTAGTGTGTAATGAAATACATAATTCTTGTTATTTCCCTTGGCAAAAGTTTTTCAACATGAAACCAGATTTTGAAATGTGAGAAAGCAGAAGGGAAAACCTCAGAGTCACTAAACAGGAAAGCGTAAAAAGGAACTTAGAAACACAATAAAGGAAGAAATAAGAGAGTGGAAGGTAAAAAAGAGGTATATGAGAATAGCTTCTTTTAAGAACAAATACAAAAAGAAATATGAAAAAATGTTCCAAAAACAAGATAGTACACTAACGAATCTTAGTGTTTTCCCTTTGTTCTGCTAGGTATGTACAAATCACGTCTTATAATAATAGCACTCATCTGTTCTATTCAGTGTTTTAAGGTTATCAAAGTGCTAAGCTTGAATGCTTGCTGTCCCAAAGCCCATTAGTATGGGACTCTGTCTTTATTGGTGGAGATGAATGCCCAATCCTATATGAGGGGCAAGGCAGAGTTGGTAAGGTTAAGAGTTTTCTCATATAGTCTTCTTTGGGACTCTTAAAGCTTCACCTTACTTTTCATGCTCTATCTTCCAGCTTTGAGAAGGAACATGGAAGAGACCAACTGAACTCAAGGTTGCTGAAGTGAAAGACTGTGGCAAGACATGAGAGGAGCTCGCAGACTCCATCATGTCCCTATCCTTAGCTTGCTACAACTTCAGGGAGTTTCCCCTTGGGTGTGATCCAGAACACTCTCTCTCTCTCTCTCTCTCTCTCTCTCTCTCTCTCTCTCTCTCTCCCCCTCTCTCTTTCTCTCTCTCTCCCTCTTAGTTGAGCTGAATTATATTGTCATGTTGTTCCCAGTGGGAGAGTACCTTTGCTCCATAATGTCTGGTATATATTCTCCTATGTATACCTTCTCTGATTTCCGTTTTGCTATGATTTAGATAAATAGGTTTCTTTGCTGTTTGCTGTGGATGCTCATTGTGGAACTGGTATTTTATGGGAAATGGGTCAAGCCTTGAATATTGAGCTTGAGGGTCTACTTCCCCCCAATAATCAGAAGTTAGATTGAAACTGATCATATCCCCTAGACTAACGATATTTAAGAGAGCATATAGATAAAATTTTATCCCCATACCTACTATTTCTGAAGAAAGCAGAATGGTGGCCTCTGG